TGGAAAGGTAGACTATTCACAAGTTAGTATCGTACGGGTAAAAATGAATCGAAACCTTACCGTCGGCTAATCTCCAGTTGGTCGTCCCTTTCGCGCTTGGACTGTCCATACAGGAACATTGAAGCCACAATAGCCTCAACCAAGTCCCGGTCGGCCTCTCTCACGGCTGAAGCCAACGACCAGAAGCTCAGAAGGCTTTTATTGAGAGGACCGGTGTAACCATATACTTGGTGTCGGAGCTTCAGCAGGGACGCACACTCACTGATCAGCACAAGGGTTGCCTTCTCCTCATAAGAGCCCTTTCGGGGCAGACCAGGGTGACCCTCGGTGTGCTTTCCTGTCAAGAGCCCATTTCGGATAAGTTCAAACGCGACTAGGGCTGCTTCCGACAGACCGGTCACCTCAGGGTTGTTCTCCTTGACATCCTGGAGTGTAAGGAGGGTGGTTGCCAATGCATTGCCCCACTTTGTTAATTTGTGCTTGTCATCAGCATATCCTCTCAAATGAAGGAATCGCCAGATAGCAACCGAGGTAACCATATCTGTACTGTCAATTCCCTTGATGAGCCTCTCTTTGGGGAATGTCTTGTCAACAAATTCGGTGTTAACAAGCGACAAGACTTCCAACGACACGGGGCTCGCAAAATCCTCAGGGAAAAATGCACGAACATCATTGTCCTTGACATCCCAACTGGCAACCATCTGTGATGGTGGAGGGTTGATAGAACGATGGTTGATAGTGTATGAATATTTGGGGTCAAACCAAACCCGCACTTTGATGTTCTTGTGCTGAATACCGCGGTGAAGTCTGGGGATCAGCAGCGAGAGAGCCTGCTCCTTAATGGGCACTATTCTGTCGGTGATCAACTTTTTGTACTCGTCTGATGCAACGCCGTCCAAGGTAGGCTGGATGAGAACTTGTCCGTGGGTGATGTTTCCCAGTAGGCGAGGTCCAATCAAGCCGGTATTGAGGTAGTGGAAAAGCTCAGCCGGGAGCTGAAGACCCAGATACTCATGATTGTCACTGGTCAAGTGCTCATAGTCGTTGACACGGATCTCACCGCTCTCGGCGATATAAACAAAGTGGTGGACGACCATCCTCGCCTTGCGGTACTTGTCGAGCCAGTCGGCGTCCTTGTTCTGCAATATGTCGTTGAAGCTAGCACAAGCAGTTGCGACACTGTTTTCCGCAGTCCTCAGAAGATTGGCAGCAGTTGAGATATTGTAGTCTGAATACATTGAGCTTTCCAACAGAGCAGGAAAGGGAGAAAGGAAAGATGTGCCAGCCATTAAGAAAGAGTCGATAAACCTAGGCTCGCTCGCAGTAGGTGTGAGACTGCGCATCACTTTCTTCTTGGAAATGGCAGTAACCGTTTTGGCCTCCCAGTCGAAAATACGAAGGACAGAGTCCTTAACGGGGTACAATAGAAGCTCCTGAGAGCCCATTACGCCCGAACACTGGTCTGAGTCGGTCATCTCAAAATAAGCAAGCTATTTCTGTTAGACTTTGAGCTTCAGAGGAAAAGCAGTCTTGGATAGCCTACCTGGGCGCATGCGGTGTAAGGCGCTACCAGAAAGTGAAGATCACGGCTCTTCAGAACGTTTTGGAGTAGGGGGTAGAGATTCTGAATGCGAAAGGCCCCTGTGATAGCCTCGGTTTAGGTCAACATCCTAATCAAAAGCTGATGTTCACTCACCTGGACTAGTACCGAAGGTTGACACCGCCTCTTCAGCGGCCCCCTGAGAGTACAAGTTCCATGCCTCGTCTGTCTTCTTGTTGGCCTTGAGACCACGATCCAGGGTAATATCATCCTGGCCGGTCACAGGCTGACCGTCGAAAACGAAAAAGGGAACGATCTCATTCTTCGCCCAAAGATCGAGATTCTGGTTTATGTGTGCCTCTACTCCAGTGAGACCACCCAGAGCTGACAACAGGGGTTCGTGAGCAGGAGATGTCTCGAGAAGTTGGCAGAGATAATAACTGGCGTCGACAGCGATGGCGCATCCTTCGAGCAGGGAGATATCATGCGTACTATGTGATGTTCAATTAGCGCTTGCTTGCAGGAGAGTGAGTCGCAAAAGTACGTACGAAGCCTGGTCGTTGATCCAGGAGTCCTCGGTAAGGACTACTCAAATAGTTAGCGCATGCTACAGAACCAGCTTTTCGAATGTGGGCGCTGCATGGGGACGTCGTCGTCGCAAAGCAGTCGGCTGTGGTGTGATCATCATCAAGTTGAGCTGATTCTGGAGCGCTCTGCCCACAAAGCCTGAGCTTCAATTGAGCTTTCTATGTCCTGCTAGCTTCCACAAGATGAGACAAGCTGATACAAGCCAACTCAGCTGTGCCAAAGTTCTTCTCGACGGCCAGCACACCCTTTGCAAGCTTGCAACCTAAATTTGAACGCCAAACATGGAGTCCAATTGGGTTTGGACAAACTTTGTCCCCACGCGCGCGGGTCAAGACTCACATGGCATCTCGAAACTCTCGCTGCGACTCAGGCGCCTTTTTACTATTTGTTCTCGGGGTCGGTGCTTGGAGGCCGAGAGTCCTGGAGGTAGAGTAGATCGGCCGTTCGAAGGGTGGGATTCGAAATCGCAGTTGTTGGCGGCAAGGTGAGGGAGTGTTGTTGGAATAGGTATGGCGGGGTTGAAAGGAGTTCCGCCAGGTGCTGTGCTGTGCTGTGCTGTAGCTGTGCTAGGGGGGACCGGCGCAGCTGGATAGAGGGGAACTAATTGAGCGGGTCGTAGGAGGGAATCGCGAGGAGGGAGATAGCGAGAGACGGGGGAGAGAACAAAAAAAAGGAAGAGTTTTCTTAAAAAGCTGTCGTGTGAGGTTGGCAAGTATCTTCAGCTTCAAAAGGTGGACAGCTGGTTGGAAGATGTGACAATCAAATGCTCGACGAGTTACAGCGGCGGCAGGGACGCAACAAGACTAGAGGTAGGTACTACCTTGGCTGTGTGGTACCTACCTGCACCCTAGAGTTTGCCTACGGGCGGGACGGCACATCCTACCGCCCATCCACCCAATCCATCCATGCCAGTTGGGAAGAGCCCTCGTAAGTGTGGCGAGTGTTGCTCGAAATGTGGCTGTGTTATGTCAAGTCAATATCGGATAGATGCCATCTCGAACTTCTACGAATAGCATAGTAACATGAAATTTGTGATATAACAAACTAGACGCATAGATATACATTTGCTATCTTGTGTACTGAACCATGTACCAGAGGTCAGGTTGTGTTATGAAGCTTGTACATTTTGTTGAACTTGTCGAACTTGGGAGCCCCGCCCGCACCGTAGTACTTACACTGAGCCTGTAATGTAATTCTGGTCGTGGATGGCGGGGTGATGACGCTTTGTGCAAGATATTACCTATCAAACGATCAATTGATCGTCCTTGTTCAAATTGTTTGTTGTTGACATTTTAAAATCTACATTTGTTGGCTGTTTCCTATTCCCAGTCTGAGAACCTGAGCTAGTCCTAAAATATCTACTATATACATCTGGGTTCCTGCCCAGCACCTTATCCTACCTACATTCTGCGGCTTTATTAACCAACCTAAACGCAAACAACCATGAACTTTCCCATGAAAGATAAACTCGGCCATTTCAAGAGACCTCTAGGCATGGACCAAAGAACGGCAAACATCCCTCTGATCGACATTTCAGCCCCCGATGTCGATCAAAATGAAATTGCCAAGCAACTCGTTGACGCTGCTGAGGAGCATGGCTTCATTTACATTCGTAACCTAGGCCATGACATCCAGGCCAAGGATGTCGATGGGGCGTTTGATCTCGTGAGTGACCAAGATCAGAACTCAAATGTAAACAAACACATAAATGCTGATGGGTATACGGCAGGTCAGGAAAACGTTCGAGTGTCCCGTGGAAGAGAAGCAGAGATGCACAATTCAGACTAACAATCGTGGCTGGTCGGGCATGCATTCTGAAACCCTGGATCCCAAAAACCAAAAGGTAGGTCTGGCCTGAGAATGGCAACAACGGTAACATCGAGGCTGACCAGACAACTAGATTGGAGATTTCAAAGAGTGAGCTATTCACAATCCATTGGCGGCAACTCGCACTAACACACCTATAACAGGGCCTTCAACTTTGGTGAATTCGCCGATGGAAAAGCCCAACAGCCTCTTCCGTCTGACTTGGTTCCTGATGAACCTCAGATAAGTGCCTTTGCTGACTCATGTCATGACCTTTGCCAGAAGCTCCTCTACCTGCTTGGCCTAGGTCTCGGTGTAAGTCGAACCCTTGCTGCCAACTTCAAAATCAGTAGACTCATCAGCACCAACTAGGTCGGCGACTTCTTCTCCTCGGCACATAACACAGATAAGGGCGCTTCAAGCTCTATCCTCCGCTTCTTACGTTACCCACCCCCAGAGTCTACCGCTCATACCGAAGAAGACGTGCGTGCTGGTTCTCACAGTGACTATGGCTCCATCACCCTTCTCTTTCGTCTCAAGGGCCAGGCAGGTCTAGAGGTTCTTACAAAAGACAACATATGGGCACCCGTCCCCGTTTGTCCAGCTGGTACCGAGGATGATCCTAGTCCACCTATTCTTATCAATATTGGTGATCTGTTGTCGTACTGGACCAACAGATTATTCCGCAGCACTCTCCATAGGGTTGTATTTCCAACAGAAGGAAGCGTCAGGGTGCAGGGAGAGAAGAATGAGGGGCCAAGATATTCGATAGCGTATTTCTGTCACCCTGTTGGTACAATCCCTCTTGAGCCTGTTCCTAGCGAGCGGGTGAAGAACTTTGTGCCTACTGGAGGAGCGTCAAGTGAAAACCCTTATGCCACAAGCAAGGTCGTGACGGCCGATGAGCATTTATTTATGAGGCTCAAGGAGAGTTACGGCGATCTTTATGACAAGAAGTCATAGATGTAGTAAGCGAATAAGCATAGAATTGAGTATCAACACTGGAAGTGGACTATCAGCCTATCGTCAACCATTCCTCGTATCCCATCCTCTCTGGTCCTTGTAATCAGATAAGTCCAGGTCCGATGCGCCAGCGCTCCCACGGGGTATGGAACCCATCGTAATATTTGGGTTGGACAGCGTCATCTTCCTGGATTGTCACATGATGCAGAACACGCCAGTCGTAAACATTAATCCAGTTCTGTCGTTCGTGCGGGATAGTCTCTCGTACTTTCTGGATTTTGTCAAAGAGGAACTTTGTTGCCTCTTTGTCGTCTGATTGGCACAAAAGGAAAATCTTGGCGCTGTTCTTTGTCTTTTTGAGTTTGCCTGACTGCTCCCTCTTGAGCCAAGCATCAATTTTCTCGACCGGATTGCCAATCCCATGAAGCTCGAGGAGTGTCCTGGCTTTCGAATTGCTGAGAAGTCCAGGTGAAATCAACATCTCTGCCTTCGCAAATACACAGTTCTCGCCCGCATAGGCGCAGATATGCGGGTTGGTAACAAAGATCTTTTTGGCTGGTATATCGCGGCAAAGTTCTGTTTCGGTCTCGAGATCATTCCCAGAACGAATGTCATCCTCACAGTCGAAGTCTGCCACAAATATGGAAGCATCATTTTCATCCGAGTTAGGATCGTCAGAAGCGAAAGAGGTAGAAGGAGATGCGCAAGTAGTCATGACGGGCTGAGATCGCGGGTTGTCATCAATACCGGTGAGAGGTCCGCGCGGTTGATAATTGTTTGTGCTCTCGGGGATGTGTTTGTGTTTTGGTGGTGATTCACTGTCTAGCCTCGGGCGTTTATGCGGTGATGCTTGCTGTACAATGAGCGGATCATGTTTCTGTGCTCGGTGCTCGGTGGGCGACGCAAGTGGTGCAGCGGTTGTAGGTAATGTGGCTGCGGCAGTGGATAGAAACAAAGGGCGCAATCTTTCCAATCTATCACGACAAGGGCTGATGATATTGCCCACGGGTGATCTTTTTGCTAGGGAAGAAGCGGGAGACCATGTAGAGGTGGTATTCTGTGTTGACTTTCGAGGTGATGGTGTTGGCATAGTTGTCACTGTCAACTGGCTAGCAGCATCAACTGCAACACCACGCGGGTCTGCTGCCTCTAGCTTGGCAATCCATTGTAAGTTCTCCTGATTATCCTCCAGCTCGGCCGCTGTAGTCGCATCCTTAGCCAGCTTTTGCAACTGTTCAAAGGATATTGTATCAGTAAAATCCCGATCAAAGTGGACTTTTGTCACCGAAGGAAATCGCAGGCTCCAAAATCCAGTGTTGCACACTCTATCAAAGCTGAAGCATTTAAGGTCAAACACCAGCGGTCTGGTGAATATAGCAGTCGGGGGTGACCCTTGTTCAACGCCGGGGGCTTGCTTGAGGACGGTCGCCTTGTTATCTGCCGGGGCAACGGGCTCTGGGTTTGAGTAGGTAACAACCTCCCTGAGAAGCGTTTCGTTGAGTTCAACAACGTTGACGATCGTGAATTATGGTTTAGCCTTCCGATTTCTAACCGCCTCTCTATTGTCGAGGCAGCCAACATAGAAATGCGTCCATTTCAACCCAGGTATTCGATAGGATATTGCTTTTGCCGAGTCGTACTTGGCCCCAACAACTGCAAAGTCGCCAACATCTCCAAAGTTCCCAATGTACTCTTTCTTAAGTTTGATGCAGCAAATCGAAAATTTCCGTCGTTGGTCTTTGAAGTCAAAGTAGGGCTCATCCGGTTTCAAGATGAGGCCTTCTTTTCGAGCCAAGATGGACAAGGCAAACGTTTTGCGTAAGGTCGATGCGCCAATTGGTTGGCAAAAATCGACAACTTGTCGAGGGACCAGTTCCGCCCATCCTTTACGACAACATACGACATTCGACAGAAATCTGAATCTCTCCGAGTGCCTTAGGTTGATCAGTGACTGGTCTTCTAGAAGCATTATGTCATAACAAACAATCATTAAGTGTTCCTGGGGTCCGGGCCTGGAAAGTCAATATCTGTCTAATACAACGATGGATATAGACAAACATACAGCGAGTCTAGGTCTGTGCATAAAAACACACCTCTCCGCGATACATGCTTCCTGATTTTATGAAACGGGAGTATTTTATGTTGCTAGTACTTGTCGGATTATTGCAGAGGATGTGGGCTGCGAGAAGACGTACAGAATCATCATACACAACCAACTCCCCTTCAAATATACAAGCCTCGGTGACTCTAGTGTCGGGCTGCCCAATTTTGAGTGATTTTTATATTGTCCTGTTCGTAAAGTTAGCTTGCGCAGGTCCCGTATCATTCGGTACTGACCCATGAAGTGCAACCCTGTCTTCAGTGCTGTCTTTGCCGCTCTTGGAAAATATCTGGATGCATCGATCTCCTTTACTTGGGTCTATATGGATTTGGCAGTACTCGCCATCGATCTTTTCCTCCACACTCATACGCCCGTGTCCCATATCCAAGCAATGCTTAATACTGCGGCCTTTAATCCAAGGCTGTCGCCCAATCTTGATACCCAGTTGAGGTTTTACCGTGCTCATGATTTGCTCACGCGGCGTCTGCTGTCCAGAATTTGGGAGTAATCCCCTTCGCAAAGTTTGTGCAGTAGTGATCGCAGTAGCAAAGTCGTCTTGAACCTTGAGAACGCAAGGAAGAAGAGGGTCGCAAAGACGGTATATGAGATGCGGGTCTAATACTAGTGGTTGATAGCTTTTGAGAATCAACCTTGTAAACCACTTGGCTTCTACTGCGCTCAGCCTTCTGTACATGAGCTCAACATCCGTTCTGTTGCTCGCGGTCATACTGACCTGCGAAGCGCGAATCGAGGGGGAACTCCATCTCACTTTTGAGGCGAGCGAGTGCAGGAGCTCGTCGGCCTCTTCTAAAGTAACAGCATCTCTCTGGCTATACCCTGGACTAGGCTGAACCACAGTTAGCTTGTTACTGATTCTCCCTCGAAACAACTCACTGTTATAGTCAGGATGCGATGAACACAGTCTGCGAGATCAACACCGGAACCCGGTTGACGGAACCGAGCCAGTTCGGCGATACGTGATGCCCCTAGAAGACATGCGCGGCCGATGATTCTCTCCAGACTCGGAGCCTGGATACAGTAGTCTCTATCGGTTCTCTTGTCTGGAAGTAAGGTCGATAAGAGTGCCAAGAGGCTGGTATCGTGGGCGTCGACATAGTTGCGATGCTTGTTAAACCACTTTACAACGACGCCGGATCAACCCTTTCTAGCGAGACAAAGATCATAACACTGGTCAAGCAATTCGCAAACCGAAGAGAAAGAGAGAGGCATGTTCAATAATCATCGCATCGTTTGTTCTTTATGAAAGCTCCAAGACAGTCATAAAGAAGCTTGTAGTTTGGTGTGCGAACTCAAATCGAGATTGGATGCGACTGATTTTTGACTGAAATATCAGGTGGAGCAGGTAACAAAGTCTATTCAGACAACTGAGATATCATTCCCACTTTCCCACTCTGCGGGGCGTGATGGATGTGGTCGGGCAACTGACGTGTCAGCAGTAACTTCCTCTAAGCAAACGCGATCTTGACGCAGACTCACGTGATGGCTCGGTGGATCTCAGTCCAGTAGCGTCTATGAAGCTCAACTTACATGTTGTCTGACCGCCTCTGATTTTTGTTGAATTGTAAGTGGATGACGGTGTAAAACCGTACTCAGATTCTTACCATAAATATTAGAAACCGGTTTCACTCAGTTCGTATTCATGGTTAGGTATGTCTAGGTAGACCTGAGACTGTTGACAGCAATACCTGGTAGGTATTTCGATCACCTACGACTAGCAAACAAATGCCGCCCATGCAACCCAAGAATAGCTCAGATAAAGGAGCTACATGTTTGTGGTTATTTTTTCTTCATCTTAAACTGTTAACCGAATAATCGACCGTTAAATGATTTTATGCAAGTCAGCTTACGGATGTAGTTTACATGCATTCCTCGGCAAACATGTAGACTGATGTTCAACTCAATTTAGTACTAAACCCCTGCGTTTATGCAAGGTCCGCCCGCACAGAGCCACCACATCTTTTAAAGACACAAGACCCCTGGGGCCTGGATGACAGGGTCACGGGAGAGCGTTACGTACCTCGATCGATGTGACAGACAAACACTTCATCGTTGTCGGCCAGAACAAAGTGTCTCACTTACAAAGAGCCAATGGTGAATAAAAGATACAAACACTCTGTCTGGACAACGGCTCGAGCGCTTGATCGTGGGAACCTTGCCCAACAATATACGGTCTAACGCGCAGGCTGCAGTAGTTTAGGCGTCGAGGCTCTATCCGTTGTCAAGTCAAAAGAGCGAGGGGAGCAACGGGCGGGGTGACGGGAAAGTCGGGAGGAACAGCAAGAAGAAAAGGCAGTACAGAAAGACGGAATGAAATGAGAAGGAGTATTGATATGTAGTCGTCCGTGACTCAACCCAGGGACATGATCCACTGCAGCAAAGCGTTGAGCTTGACCAGCCGTACAAACAAGGCAGAGCAGGTCAGGTGGTGCGATGGCTCACAGCATTAAAGTGAGACTTGCGGGTTGGGCCGTCAAATCGCAGTTCTTTGGGTCAGTTCCCATGGTGTTGTGAGGGCCCATTTTGAATTACGAACAGCATATGTAAACAAAGCAGGTCCCAGTTCCATTTCCCGTACCCTGTTGAAGTAGCACTTGCAATTCATATTCATGATCCAAATTCATGCCCCGAAATATCCATTGTACACGCACGCATTACATCGTCAATTACAGGACTGTTCGCTTGTCGGCATCTCTCCACGCCTACCAGGGTCTCTATCTCCCAGAATTATTACTGTAGATTGATTGCTTGCTGTATTGACAGCACTCAACCGTCTACTACTATTTTTTATTTTTTTTTACGACATTCCATATCTGTATCCCACAAACATCTGATCAGAAATATTCGCTCATTACGACTTCAACATTTATTCTTCTTGTTATTAACACCCCTTTCAAGTCATTTTCCTCATTTTAACCTCACAAACATTATCCCAAACAGTCTTACTTCCCCACGGTAATTGATTCACTTTTTTCATCTCAACGGCTCCTTATCAGCATTAGGTACACCAATCCGCCCCATCCGCTTAACGTCGCCTCGTCCCTTACTGGGATCTATCAATTTCGTGCCGACGCTCTTAGCCAACCCCAGCAAGCCTCATATCGTCCCTGACTTCCTGTTTCGCTACGTTCCTGCGCCTTGCCGAGCCCCAGCTGCTGTACCTACCAATAGTACTCCTATTCTCCTGAGAATCGCCCCCCAGTTCAGTCCCAACCCAGGCCATCCCAGGCGTCGTGTCGTGTGCTAAGTTAAGCAATCGGTCAACGTCTTCCCAAGTTAGGGGATCTAGGATCGTGCTACTGGGCGCCTCCAGGGCTCTATTTTCGACAACAACCACTGAGCATTGGCGGACGGTCCACTGAAATCAACCCACCCCGGCTCGCGCCATACCCCATGCGAAACTTGATACACGACTAAGACCTCCCACAATCCACTTCCGACTCGCCTCTCCCTCCTTATTCTGATGCCCGGTTTTCTCTTTCAACTCTGCCTCGTCCACCGTTGCTCGTCCGCTCTCTTCGATGATCACCGCCGCCTGACACAGACACACTATAGAGCGCTCACTACCAGGGCCGCTGTCGCTGCTGTCGCTGTTGCTAGATTGCGGCGCCGCAGAGCTCAAAGAGCTCCAGCCACTCATTTGCATAAACGCCGACGAGTTCTCGGCCTCCACTCTCTATCATACAATACCTATATTCATCCCTTGACCTTGGATCCCTACAAGTTAATGGACATGGACTCGCAACAAGCTATCCGTCGACGCTGCTCTGTTGCCGACCGTCTGCCAGCAGACTTTGTTATACCCACCACCTGCTCGAATTCTGAGACTGCCCCTGATTCGACCATTTCTTCCACCACAACTACCGCTGTCGCCGCCTCTGTCAATCCTAGATACGTTCCTGCTCGCAACCTTGCTTCACACAACCGCCACGGCAGCATGAGTTCAGTGGGAGGCATTCCCCGTCCGCCTCAAAGGGACGAAACTATCTCTTACAGACGTGGTCACACTCGTGCGAAATCTAGTGTATCCAGCATGAACCGCCAGGTCAACCGACTTTCCTTGACGCTCCCAATTGCACCCCCTACGAGCGACCCTTCCCGGCCAACACCAACCTCTTCCGCCATGTCATCAGTTCCTCCGACTCCAATCGACTCCGGCATCGCCTCGCCGGCTGGCGCAAATGAGTTCATCATTGCCATTGCCGCTCAGGAGAGACGTGTGCTAGAATTAAGGGAGGAGTTGTCTCGTGCTGAGGCGGAATTGACTTCACTCAAGAAGAAGTGGACGACACAAGAAAAGAAGGGTGATCCCATTCCTGTCGAGGCATACCGCAGCCCAGTTCTGCCTTCAGATAGCGATAGCTCTTCGGTGAGGCGAAGCGCCGAGTCAGACCGCCGAAGATTATTGCAGCAGACGGGTGCAACGAGTCCTAATCGAAGAAGGGTCCTTCGCGGTGGACATACAAGAACCCTGTCTCTGCTGTCGCCGGCGAAGCCAGACGGAGGTTTCTCATTATACCAAGACCGTGATCACGAGCACGAGCAGGTCAGATTACCTTCAATAGAGCGCAGGACCGCTCAATTAACAAACCCTCATTTGAATAAGCGTGCCTCATGGCAGCCACGCACACAACAAAACGTTCCAGGTGCCGCTCAAATTGTCGAGGACTTTAAGCTGGGCCTCAAAGCTTTTGTCGAGGACATCCGTCAAATTACTGTTGGGGACGAACCTATCAACGGCCAGCCCGTTCGCTCCAACAGTGTCAGCGACCGCAGCGAAACGTCCCGAACCCAGGATACGGTCCGAGCGAATCGCCCACTTCGACCCAAAGTGAGCACAGTGTTTGAGCCACCCCACAACAACTCTGAGACCACAGACCGCTCAGAGACAAAATCACAAACATCAACGACAACGGCGTCAAAAACTCGGCCCGAGATGCCTGCACGGAGTAAAACCAAATCGAAGAACAAGTCTTTCTCTTGGCAACCTCTTGGATTCGACTCGATGGACGACAATGACTGGTCTAATTGGGAGTCTCCGGCTTCGTCCTCTAAGACGTCTCGTTGGAGCGGCTCTACTATTGGCAGTAGTGGACTGGACGATATGTCTGCTACTTCGGACGAGGGAGAACCTGCGGACTCGCCCTCGTAAGTGATTGTTGGCGTTAAGTTTGATATTGTTTGTGCGGCAATAGCTAACTTTGTTTAGTAAGAAGAAGTCGTCCGGTTACGAAACTCCTCTTCTCTCCCCCAAACTCGAGGAGCTTCTGCCCAATATTGTCAACCAATTCTCGCCAAGCAATCTCAAGCGTACAGCGACGAACCTGATGGACGAGTGGGAAAAGTCCCTCACCGACCCCAACTACCCTCACCAGTCACAAGCTCAAGAAAACACCGCCTAAACGGGGTTCCTCCGAGTTTTCACAATACTAGACTATGTTGAACATACACATTTGAAGCCATTTTCACAAAATTCCTTTACATAAAAAGGCCAGGCGTACACAGGTTCGGTATCACAGACCGCTATTTCACGACGAAGAATAAGGAGAGGGAAAAGGATGCTTGCCAGGACGGGTTTACTTGAATGGCCAACATATCCTTTTGAGTTTATTGGCACTTTTGGGGACTTGTTTAGACTGCGATTTGTAAGAGCTATATGTTTTCTGTTTGCTCGGGACTGCCAGTTTTTATTTTTTTTATTTTTTTATTATGTCTTTATGGCTTGTGTTTAGGTTCTCAAGGCATTTGCTTGGAGTATCTGTGTACATGCTGTAATTTGGTTTCCTGGTGTTGGGATTACGATAGGGAGACGATACTCATGAGTGACGACTACAAAATCGTCGCATTCTAAGTCAATTCAGTTTATATTCAATATTTATCACTCTAACTCTCCGGAACATTTCTATGTCAGTAAGACTTTTAGTTAACTTTTATCCTCAAAACAAGACAATTTCACTTTATAAGAGACCGACTCTCGGTAAAAGCATCTCCACTACCCAAGCTCAAACGCTTAGTAGTTTGTCCCAGGGTCACCTCTCGTCTTAGATCGAGTCCTTGGCTTGTCTTGCGTCAATCGAAGATCGAAAGCTGGGCTCAACTCCAACGTTAAATCGATCCGTTGCTAGGGCAGCCGGCAGTGGAGAAGCACTACGAATTTCGGGCGTGGGTATGACAGATGTCTGAGAGTGGAGACTATCACTTGGTAGATACCTAACAACACATGCATTCGAAGGGCTTCTGATACAGTTATCGACTTGAACGAGAATTGATGTGGCAGGACTAAATTTACTAGCTTTGAATACCCATCACGCCGGCACCACTGGAAGAAAACCGAGTATAAGAGCGGTGAAACAAGAAGCCCGATGCCCATCCTTAGGAATTGACTTTAGTAATAGAACTTGAGATTCGGAGGAAAGTCGAGGTTGCGTCTGTCTCTAATATGAATAAAAATTCTTTCATAGTGACAGGCTTGCCAAGGTAGTCAATTCATGAGCAGCTACATTGGTAGATACGTATTCAAGACTTAAGCGAGTGCGAGTATGCGAGCAAGCCATTACAGCCAATTGTGTGGATTGGGCAGTAGCCGTACAGGTGATTGGTCTCGGTGCATGATGATGGTTGTTTCTTTGCGTATTTTCGCATTCGCTCGCGGGGAATGCCTTGATTCATCCGCAATGATTCAGCTGGTCATTGAACATAAACTATATAGCTCCAACAGGATCTTGTCAAGAATAGGAGGTATCCAATGTTCAGTCACAAGTTATTAACATATCCCTACAACCATATATACACTCTTCGACAGAATCAAACACCCACATTATCAGAATGAAGAAAGAGTTCCAACCAAAGCTGAACCCAGCTTCCAATCCCCTCAAGTTCCCCTCAAAAAATGAGAGAGCTGTAAGTCACAGTTGGACGTACTATCTTCATGTTGGACTTGTTTCCTAACACGATGTAGTTTATGCTCAAAGATTGTTTTAAACCTCAAGTTACAATCGCAATTGGGTCGTTCATCCAAGTAGCTCTATGTGCCATTCTTCCTCTCCGTTTGGCAATTATACCATCGGCAGCCGTCCTGCTCAACTCTATCATCACCACTCTCCTCCAAGTACGCAGCACAAAACCCAACGAGTATGATGAAGCTATCATACCTGGCCGCGCAACCGCGCAATTACCATTCTCTTCTGGAACGTTTGGTTCTAAACCAGGAGCGAATTCTGTTGTAGTATTCCATCTCGGTATCCAGATAAATCACCCCCTCGGTCTCGCCGCACCAGGCATGAGCCAGATAGGAAAGTACTTCTCGGCAATGATAGAGGATCTAGAATCACATCGAGACGAATATGGGCTGCTCACAAGTTCGAGCTGGCGAGGCGATGAGCGCAGCAGTAACAATACGCTTCTCAACATTTATTACTTTCGCGACGTCGAGGGTCTGCACCGCTTCGCTCATGGCGATGTTCACTGGAAGGCATGGGACTATATGAGCAAGACGAAGCCAAAGCACATTGGGATCTTCCACGAGACGTATTCTGTTCCTGCGCGGGCATACGAGAACATATACGTCAATTGCCACCCTGTGATGATGGGTCGTGCAACAGTGAGGACGATGCCAGTGGGTGAGGAGGATGAGAGGTGGACGAATACCCTCGTCAGTGCTGATGTGCCGGCGCTAAAGACGCAGTATGCGAGAATGTCGAGGGATGAGCGGAGGAATTCGAAAGAGACGTGATGTTTGAGTAATTGCTTCGATGATGAGACTTGAAAGTGCAGTGAAAACACGAGATTACCAAGCGTCTTACTTCGATAGATTGATAGTATTCGTATCAAGTATTGGAAAAATGTGAACAGAGCATGTGTAGTATAATTATAGAGTAGCGAGAGTTTTACTAAAGCAAGAACCTCCTATACATCAAAATCAATTTCGTTTCAACATGTAAGAGCCAGGTCAATGCATACTTGATAATTATATTACTTGTTCAGGGGGGCTGAAATGCTTCAGTTGAGTTTGCTCACATGCGCATATTAACTTCACTAGGCGATCACTCACTCTCCTAGGCAGTTATGGAAGAATTGCACAACGGAAAGGATATCCAAATCTACAGAACTTTAAAATAATCGTTTGCAGCTTGAGGGTTTTTGGGCCTCATTTCAGGCCAAGTAAAAATAAATGTATCCAAGTTCTCAAGTATTCATAACGCCCAATGATGCAAAAATATCACAAACCCTCCCATAACGCCATACCTCTATAGCTAACTCGTAGCGCAATTTGTCTAAAAGTCAAGGACGAGGAAAGAAACACCTCCAATAACACCAGCCACGAAGAGGAACGTTAAGATACCAGCACCAGCCTTGTCGGCTCCAGTGATTTCCTTTCTCTTGGGCGTTCCATCGTCATCGTTGGCATCAGTGTTACCACCACCAGGGTCGCCCTTGGAAGTTCCTCCAGTCTTGGAGGTGACGGGTCCCTTCGCGCTCTCGACAAGAGTGTACATGAGAATGGAGAGGGCGTTCATCTGGGGACCTACACCAACAGAGCCATCGAAAGTGTCGGTTGTCCAAGAGAAGCCGCATGCTGTACCGGCAGGACCCTTGTAGCCTTCTCCAGAGCCAGTGCAGACCTTGGCAGCAGCCTGGGCACTTGTCTTGAGGAGCTTTATGATCTTGTCGTTGGTAGCTGGGTATAGCTGTGTGGTGGCAGCCAACCATCGGGCGAGATATCCCTTGAAGCTCTGCTGATCCTGACTGCACTGCTTATGCGGCTCACAAAACTGCTCGTAGATGATCTCGTTCTTGACAAACTTGTTGAAGACGTCATCGAGAAGGCCGTCGGTGCGCTTCTTCCACTTGTCGGCTGAAGTGAGATTGTATAGGGTGGCAGCGCCGTGAAGGAAGATACCGGTGTTGTAGGACCACTGCGTCTTGTCGATATCGTCGCAAACTGCGGACTTGGACTTGCCAATGTGGACACCATCAAGAACTTCGAACTTGGAGGTAACAACTCCGGCCTTGGTGTGCCAGTCCCAAACCTTTTCAGCCCAGTCTGCATAAGTGTCGTTGCCCGTATACAGCGCCAGGCGAGAGGCGATGTTAAAGAAGCAGCCGTTGGAGATGGCGTTCTTGTAGTCGTAACCGGTGTTCCACTTGAAAATCTGCCAGCGCATTCCACCACCGCAATACTCGTCGTCCCAGCGGCTGACGTATTCGTTGAAGACGGCTTGCGCCTGTGCGAGCCATCCAGGGACGTCGTCAGGGGGGTCTGGGAATTGGTGCTCGGCTGCTGACATTGCGGCCATAGCCCAGAAGCCTTGGTCGTCGTTTCCTTCGGTCATGGTTTGGTTATCGGGCATGTAGTCGCCGTCTGTTCCAGCTTGATGGATCAGGGCTTGTTTTGTGATGGCGTTGTATTTGTCGTCTCCTGTAAGCCACCAGTAATCAACTAGAGTACCAAACATGGCTCCAGCCTCCCACCCTTTTGAGAGTCAGTATATCGGTATGACCAGTTGACGATGAGATGGGATAGTTACAGTAGTAAGGATCCGGCAAATTTCCTGCTGTATCGCCTGGGTTCATTCCTGTGTACCAACTTGTCAAGCCCTTGGCTGCCTTGCCGGCTGCACTCTCGACCGATTCTGATAGTGTTAGTATATGGCATCTCTCCTCAACAGAAGGGACTTACTCTTATCATTTATTGTCAGATCGTATGCATTTGCTGCGACCGTCCAGCCAAGGACGGCAGTAGTCGTCTGGAGCAGCGATCGCATCTTGGCAGCTTGACCAAAATGCTCGAATACCAAGACGGGAACGAAGAATAGACGAATTAGACCCTGTTGAATGCCAAGACCAAATCGAGAGTTGTTTCCGCTTATACGTGATGCCAAGATAATAGTTTGAAGATGTATAGACGACAGATAGCAAGCGGATAGATTAACAAAAGAGGGACGAAATAATTACAACAAAAATGAATGAATGAATGAATGAATGGATCGACTTTACAAGAAGGAATGGGTATATGGAAGAGAGAGAGAGAGAAAGGATCCTGCTCTTTCTTGTAAAAACTGGGCACGGGGAGAGAGGACTCGACTCACTCCGTTTTTTTACCCTGCAAGCACTGACAATGATTGACATAGATACCTTGTATGATGTTTGGCGATACGTCAACAAGGATCCACCTACAGATGAGGTGGAAAGCGAAAGGTCCTTTGGAAATGAAACTGCCCACGAAGGAATCCATCACTCAGGATAATTGGCTGACGATGCATCATCTTGGGGCTATGCACATGTAGCGAACTGGTAGGATGGGTCCTACCAGAGGGTGGTGGATCGTCAGGGGTTTTTTATCCTAGGTACAACAGCATAATAACTACTAAGCAGCACAGACGAGAAATTCAAATCAAGAGACGAGTTGCAGTCTTTGCTACATGGAGTAGAGGCGAGAGGAGAGGGAGAAACTGCTAGACGCGCAAGTCACAGTCTGGACAATACAGAAGATGTTAGGATGTCAGTAATTATGATCGTCTCAGTGTAGATACTGTAGAGGTCCTGTTGGTTATGTACAGAATAAATGCGGCTCCGCGAGGTGGATGATCCAATAATCGTCTCGATCCCTTTTCTTGCATGACCTGAAGAGCGGGTTGAGAACTATGAACTATGGAGCATGTGCTTTAATTCGGCCGAGACTGATGAGATGGCGATTTATTCATGTGTATCAACAAATATAAAGTCAGACAGGTGCAATAATCCAGTACTCAGGTATTCATTCATCACCCGGTTAGTTTAGTAGTTATTAGTCGTACCTAGTAAAAAGACGAGATCTATTAAGCGAATTCAGCCAAGCCGGAAGCCGGAATACCAGTTTAATTTGTTCTCAAGTGATGCCCATGTCTTCAAAGTTATTTCCGGAGTAAAAACTGCCTAGGTTCCTTCTGGAACACTGTTGTAATACTACTGTATTGGTGGAGCTTTCATCCCTGCTCCCCTGTCTAGCCTTCTTTGCATTGAGTACTTTATATCTAACCGCAGAGTATCAGAAAAGTTAGCCATTAGGAGCATAAGAGACGAAATTAGTAGGTCAGCTTATGCTATTCAGATTGGACTTCTTAGGTTGTTTATTTTTGTACCCCAAAGCTTAGAGGTCAACTTTTCTGCTGCCCACTAGACTAACACGCACGCAGGTACGCACATTCGTGGCCGCGTAAACATTACGGGATGAGGAGTCCTTTTATCCATAACGAGCTTTGTTTTCAAGCTTAAAGCCGCTGTTTCAGAGAGAAGTAGTCTTCGTGATCCATATCAAAATAGCTTGCGATCGACAGATATATAAGAAACAATTTGTATAGTCACTCACTGGTTCAGTATAAACTAAGATCAATTGTATCGCTTGCCACGGGAAACATTAGTTATTCTGAGATTCAATTGCATAACTGCTTACTATGTGTCGAATTTGTAATCCTAGATTTGTATATGTTACCTTGTTTATGTAACAACATCCATAAAGATTCACATGCATCTCAACGACTCCATCAATAGCCACTCATCCAGTCTAATGATAACCAGACTAAACCACCACATGTCATTACAGTGGGCAAAGAATCAGGCGCCCTCAACAGATGGCAAAGCAAACACAACCCCCAATGGACGATTCCTGCCGTAACAAGACCCATACCCCGGCTTCAACTCCTCACGCTTCTCAAACCCCGCCTCCAAACCCCGCGATTCCCCCACTCAAAGCTTCATCCTTCGTCCATTACAGCCAAACAGAATCTCACCTGATTTGATTTGGTTCGACTTGATCATCAGTTGATGGCAATTATCTCGGCAAAAGATACTTGAAAAGAACTCAAATACCCAAAGACAAGAACATAATTGATAACCCAACATCTAATATCCTCGCTTCTCTATAATCTGGTTGAACATCTGTCTCCATCAATATCATCATGTCAGCCAAACACTTTGTTAACGATCCAACCCATCTCGTCTCCTCAGCTCTCCACAGTCTCACTCTCACCAACCCATCCGTTGCTCTTGATCCAGAATTCAAAGTCATTTACCGTCGTCCTGATTCCAATGCCAAACCTCAAGTATCCATCATCTCAGGCGGCGGCTCTGGCCATGAGCCTTCCTTTGCAGGAATGGTCGGCCAAGGCATGCTCTCCGCCGCTGTAGCTGGCACCATATTTGCCTCCCCTTCAGCAGAGCAGATACGCGCCGCCATAACTTCTCGCGTCGATACGTCCAAAGGCGTATTGGTCACTGTGATGAACTACACTGGCGATGTCCTCAACTTTGGCATGGCCGTTGAAAAGGGCAAAGCTGCAGGGCTTAACGTTGAAATGGTTGTTGTAGGCGATGATGTTGGAGTTGGCCGCGCAAAAGCTGGAAAGGTTGGCCGTCGTGGAATCGCTGGCACCGTTCTCGTGCACAAGATCTCAGGTGCCCTTGCTGCTCTGGGAAAGCCTCTGGAGCAGGTAGCCAAATATGCCCAGCTTACTGCAGACAACCTTGTCAGCGTGGGCGCCAGTCTTGAACATGTCCATGTCCCGGGTCGCAAGATCGATTCAGAGGCGAGTCTTGCAGCAGACGAAGTAGAATTGGGAATGGGCATTCATAACGAGCCTGGTTCGGGACGCGAAAAGGTCGAGTTGCCTGACCTCGTAACTAAAATGCTTCAGCAACTGCTAGACACGAGCGACAAAGACAGAGCTTTCGTCAACGTCAACTCTAAAGAAGTCATCCTTATGATCAACAATCTGGGAGGAGTCAGCGTTCTCGAGATGGGCGGTATCACCGCAGAGGTTGCAAGCCAACTTGAGTCCAAGTACAACATTCGTCCCGTCAGAATACTTAGTGGCACCTATATGACTAGTCTCAACGGTCTCGGTTTCAGTATTTCTCTCCTTAACGTGGTTCGTCCCGATTTTGACGCCCCGAGCATGGTTGAGCTGCTTGATGCTCCCAGCGAGGTTGTCGGCTGGTCTGCGCCTATCAAAACTTGCACTTGGGAGGCCAAGAACACCAACACAAGAACGGATCGTGTCAGTGCGACCGAGGATATTAAGTCCAGCGATCTTAAGACGGATGCAGGTACTGCGCAAGCAGCATTAAATAATGCGCTACAAAAGGTCATTGATGCCGAACCCGAAGTCACGCGTTATGATACTGTTGTTGGGGATGGTGACTGCGGTATTGGGTTGAAGCGAGGCGCCGAAGGTAAGTCTCACCAATTCCGGATGACACCTACATACTGACACGATGCAGCAATTCTCAAGCATATGGAACAACGCCCTCTCACTGGCGATGTTGTTGTGGACCTCGCTCGCATCGTCACCATCGTGGAAACGGCCATGGATGGAACCTCGGGTGCTCTATATGCCATATTTCTCAACGCCCTAGTTAAGGCTCTTCGAGAACTGGCACCGGGCAATGCGTCCCCTGAAGTCTGGGCCAAAGCTCTCAAGAAGAGCAGCGATGCTCTGGCCAGGTACACACCCGCTCGCCCGGGCGACCGCACTCTAGTCGACGCTCTCCACCCCTTCGTGGAAACGTTGAACCAGACGGGAGACGTCAAGAAGGCAGCCGAGGCAGCCTTGGAAGGGGCCAACAAGACCAAGGGTATGCAAGCTAGCTTGGGCCGAACCGTCTATATCGGAGGCAGTGGATATCAGGAGGTTCCTGATCCTGGTGCTTGGGGACTGGCCAGCTTCTTCCTTGGTCTGAGTGGTTAGATGGTGCTCGCTTTCAGTTGCAGCCGGAACATTGACGACATATACGAGTGGAAACCAAGCAATCGCAGAATGATAATATTTTTTTGGAGTAGTCATAGGCACATTGTAATAAGGAAGAATTGAATGCGCAAATTCATCATGTTTTCAACGCCTATGGATTCCCTGTGAGCCTTGCCCGTAAGACATACAAAATATCCCATTCTCAAAATCAAGTCCTCGACCCTCCAAGATCATGCGGTAAAGGAAAATTAGCTTAGGAGAACCAGAATAACGCTGTCGCCTCGCAAAAACCTATAATAAAGTCAGTAAGCAGTACCAGAATTTAGTGTCACCGCCATTCGGGAAAGGGGCTGTAGGCGGTTGGTGTGTGTGGGAAACGTACATCTTGCTGATGAACCGATCCTTGTTGACTGGTCTGCCCTTCTTTCCGCCAGCTAATCGGGGAGTCTCTGTCCACATTTCCTTGACGTTCTCGAGAACCATGTTGCAGTGTCGGTCGAATGCCTTGACGCGCGCAAGGAGTTTGCGGTTGTTGCGGATGGAGATGAGAACTTGGACGTGTGATCGCACAGCAGTCTGAAGGATGGAGAGAGGACCGGCAGAGAACTCGTACTCTTCGAGCTGGGCGATCTCGTACTCGCTGCATATCATGTTAGCAATCGTTGACCTGTTGCGGGGCTGGAAAGACAGCAATTATCGGTGGACACGTACGTGAGATCGGATCGCGGCTTGCCAAGAAGCTCCCTATATAATTTATTAGCATCATTGAACAGGTTTTAAAATGCGTTGAGGCGTACTGAATCTTAGGGTCCGACATCTTGATGGTGTTGTTTGGTGGTTATGAAATGTTGTATTGCAGCGCGCAAGGCTGAAGCTCAGAGAGCTCGAAAAGTTGACGATTGGAGTAGGACGTGTCTGATTGGACATACTGGTGGGTCAAGGTTCTGTGGTCTATGATAGGTCAGGTGACGCAGTTCCTGACTTAGCAGCATGAAACCATCCCACTATCAAAAGTGGCTGCTATCAATTTTGGTTTTGGG